GACAAAGGAAACCAAGGTGTAGAAAGTCAAGGGAGCTCGGAGCTAGTACGTGAGGGACTAGAAGCAGAGCTGGGCTCACAAGCAGGCAGTCGGGTCCTCGGTCTACCCATTGGGCTGGGCCGCCTCCGCACCTTGTCTGTACCATGTCGATGCCACACACACGGCCACTTGTGTTGTTTCCTACACATCTTGTCCTTTGTGCACGTGGCCAGGTGGCTTCAGGGTGAAGGAGGCGTGGTCGGTGAGGGACTGAGGGACGGAGATGACACAGAGGCCACACGAGAGAGAAATGGTACTTTGAGAGGGACTGGGAAATCCTGTGTGCTCACGCTTGGAGGTCCCCGTGCTGCCCGTAACCCCTCTCACGTCAGACAAGTAGTTGTCAAGTTGTTTTCCTTTCCTTTTAACTGTTCTTAGTTCCTTTACATGTCTTTATTTTCTGCAGCTTCAACACTGTGAGAACTCTCATATTCTGTTTAGGCTCGGGTTTTGTTTTGTTTTTGTTTTTCTTTGATAATTTACCGTTTAACTCTGTGATCACTTAAGGTTAGAGTTTAATCTCCCCAAATTGCTTTTCATCTCACCTGATGCCCATTTATCAGGGCACACATACATTCTCCAGAGCATTTTAACATAATTTGGTGAAGGTTTAATTGATTAATTTCCTCTAATTCCATTAATTTCCTTTAATTTGTATATCTATGTTTCTCCTCACACCACATGATTTGATTATTGTTTTAGAATAAATGATAAAATCTAGTAGGGCCGACCCTCCTCTCATCTCTGTTTAACTTCTCCTCCTTTAGCGTTTGAAGGTTAGCCTTCCCTGTTTTGTTTTCCCAAGTGAAGTTTCCAATCATTTTAACGTTACTCTTAAGACGTGCCAGTGTTCTCGGGCGGTGCTCCTTTGGGTTAAGGTCATAGTGACATAATGACATTTGGAAAGCTCTTACGGTTGCTTAGTTTCTCATTTCCATTTCTGTTTAATTTCTAGATTTTGGATCATTGTTTGACTTGGAAAATGATCTTCCTGATGAGCTGATCCCCAATGGAGGAGAATTAGGCCTTATAAACAGTGGGAACCTTGTTCCAGATGCTGCTTCCAAACATAAACAACTGTCGGAGCTTCTGCGCGGAGGCAGCGGCTCTAGTATCAACCCAGGAATAGGAAATGTTAGCGCCAGCAGCCCCGTGCAGCAAGGCCTCGGTGGGCAGGCTCAAGGGCAGCCGAACAGTGCAAACATGGCCAGCCTGGGTGCCATGGGCAAGAGCCCTCTGAACCAGGGAGATTCTTCAGCCCCCAGCCTGCCCAAACAGGCAGCCAGCACCTCTGGGCCCACTCCCCCTGCTTCCCAAGCACTGAATCCGCAAGCACAAAAGCAAGTGGGGCTGGTGACCAGCAGCCCTGCCACGTCGCAGACGGGACCTGGGATCTGCATGAATGCTAACTTTAACCAGACCCACCCTGCCCTCCTCAATAGTAACTCTGGCCATAGTTTAATGAACCAGGCCCAGCAAGGACAGGCGCAAGTCATGAATGGCTCTCTTGGGGCGGCCGGCAGAGGAAGGGGAGCTGGGATGCCGTACCCCGCGCCCGCCATGCAGGGGGCCTCGAGCAGCGTGTTGGCCGAGACGTTAACGCAGGTCTCGCCGCAAATGGCCAGTCACGCGGGACTGAACACGGCGCAGGCAGGAGGCATGACCAAGGTAAGTGAGCTGAAGTGCTCTGAATGCTTCCTACTCCTGGGGGCGGGGAGCTTCTCCTTCCCAGCAGGTAACGCGGTAACGGGGGTGGGGGGCTGGTGGAATGCGGCATGTTCCTGCCTCCTTCAGTCGTTCCCTCTGCCCCTCAGATTTGGAGGAGGGAGAGTTGGTATCTGAAACCCAGAGAGAAAGATCTCTGCCCCTGTCCTTAAAGTGGGAATTCTTGGGGCGCCTGGGTGGCTCAGTCGGTTGAACGTCCGACTCTTGATTTCGGCTCAGGTCGTGGTCCCAGGGTCGTGGGATCGAGCCCTTTGTCGGGCTCTGCATTTAGTGTGGGGCCTGCTTGTGATTCTGTCTTTGCCTCTTCCCCCTCCCCCACTCGTGCACGCTCTCTCTCTAAAATGCAGTACAGCAAGGTGGGAATTGTTAAAGAAGCCCGCAGTAGAGTAGCCTGCACGCGAGGCAGTTGAGAACGTTGGGAAGGTATCTGGACTAATTGCCAGTTTTCAGCCCCTTAGGAAGATGTGTGCACATAGGACCACATGGTTGAAAGAGGCACCTTCTGCTGGGAATCAGCTTTGTGTCGCATCCCTGACTCTCGTGGAGGCTGCTCTATCCCGCTTTTACCCAGCTGACGGAGTTGTCGCCTGGTGGACCCTTTCCTTTTGACATTCGCCCGGCCGGCGAAGTGTCTTTTGTCCCAGTCCCCATTTTACCAGCAAAGAAGCTGCATTCCGGGCTGCTTAGCTGCCTGCCGTGAGGAGGCGGCGGAGCCTGGGCAGCTTGGGCCTTCGGGTCACAGGAGAGACTCGGGAGCTGTGGTCCCCAGAGTGGGGTCCGTGGGCCGGCAGGGGCAGCGTCTGCAAGGAGCTTGTTAGAAGCGCAGAGCTCCCGACTCGGAACATAGGGTGCAGCCCGGCGCCCTGCGCTCTCCAGAGCCTCCGGGGGGCCGGGGGGCCTGTGTAGGCTGGGCTCTGGCTTGTAGCTACCGGCCTGCAGTGGGCAGCGGGCATGCAGAGTGGTGGCTGAACTCGGAGAGCAGGGAGGGGAGAAGCTGGGGAGATGGGAGACGGGACAGGAAGGGGGCAGGCTGATTCTGAGTGGGGGAGCAGGCCCCGCAGAGGCTCCCAGACGAAGGCTACTCGGCGGCGGCCACTGGAGCACCTGTTTCAGGCAGCATTTGGAACAGCAAATTCTAGAACAGTAGAATCGTTTGGCTGTTGCTTGGATTTGAGTCCAAATAAAGGAAAAGGAGAAGTAAGAGTAGCACACAGTCTCCCTACAAGGCTCATGGGGGCATTGGGAGAGGCACGGGAAGCCCGAGGACTGTCTTAGGTAAGGAGACCATTTTTTTTTAACTTGGGAAATAAAAATGAGTTAGAGTTGACCATTGAACAACACAGGTTTGAACTATGTGAGTCTGTTTATACGTGGGTGGGTTTTTTTTCCATAAACACAGTACTATAAATGCATTTTCCTTATGATTTTGTTAATAACGTTTTCTTTTCTCTAGCTGGCTTTATTGTAAGAAAACAGTATATTATACCTATATGTAACATACAAAATAAGTGTTAAACTACTGCTTATGTTATTGGCAAGGCTTCCGATCAGTAGTAGGCTATTAGTAGTTAAGTTTTCAGGAAATCCAAAGTTCTATGCCAATTTTCAACTGGGTGGGGGTCAGAGCCTCAGACCCCTGCATTGTTCAGCAGTCACCTATAATTCCAGACATTAAAATTGCATTTATCTCTCTTGGAATGTTGTTAAAGGGGAATGTGAAGTTCACTTTTACTTGTCCCTGGCATTTGCAGAGGACACCTGCGTTCTAGAGGTCGGTTGAGAAGAGATTTCTGTGGGTTAGGGCTCATGGTCCGCTTGATGTTTGCTCTGTCCCAGTTCACTCATCACTCCATGCTGCACCATGGACTTAGAAAACAGTTACTTTTTTTTTTTTTTGGAGAATGCAGAGGGTTTAATGCAAGGGTTCTCAAACTTTCTGGTCATAGAAGTCCTGGAGAATCTTAACCACTGTTGAGAGATTTCTTTCAAATGTGCATTATATCTGTCAATATTCGCCACATTAAATACTGGAACAGAATTTTGAATACCAAGCACACGTTCCATTAGCTATTAAGCACAGTGGTATCACATGGTATCCCAGAGCTTCTGGAAAATGCCTCTATGTTTCTGTGAGAGAATGAGATAAAAAAAGGCAATAATGTCTTCGTACTTTATGAAGTAGTTTTGACGTCAAGACCCCCTCCCCCACAGAAGGCCCCTGGGCCCTTTGATCATACTCGGCGAGCCACTGATCATGCTTATTCCTAAAAGTTGGGCTTGATATACCAACACGCGCCGTTCTCATGTGTAAATACATGGATGATTTCTTCACGTCTTCGAGGTCTCCTGGATAAGTCAGATTTCCAGTGGTCTCGTGTGTCATAATTTGTTTCTATAGGGTTTTTTTTTTTTTT